GGTAGAGAAAATGCGACAAAAAAAAACTTGTGGTAGTGTCTATAATATCTAGCGTGATAGATGGTCCATATATTGAAAAAACTTTTATTTTACGTTGACGATTCCGTAATTTTGAATATTTAGACCACATTTCTCATCATAATTTATTAAAATAAAATATAACTTTTTTTTGCAAAAAAAAAAAAAAAAAACGTTAACACTAACAGCTTAAAAAGGTTTCCATTAAAAGAAGCTTTTTACAGGTTTCGCAATAGAGTATAAATCAGTTTCGATCCACATTTTGATATTATTCCATAGAAAAGGTCAGATAATTTCAACTTGTTCGGCATATTTCTTAACTCATTAAAGGAACTCGCACCGATACAGAAAAATAATCATATTTTAAATGTCACACTAAATTTTGCATCCTTTAAAAAATCATTTTTGTTTTTTGAGTTCTTTAGACGAAGTCCACACTAAAGGGATTTCATGAAACAAATTAAACGAAATTCTGTTCTTAGATCGAATTTCTCAGTTGAACAAGATAGACTTGGTTAATTTTGAGAATATGCATAGAATCACTGAATCGCTGAGTCGATTTATGCATGTTCGTACATGTTAAATTGTAAAAAAGGACAGGTCGAATTTATTATCCGAATTTGATAAAATTTAGCACAGGCCACTTATTTGTTCTAAAGACGAATCCTATGGAAATTTGAGAAAATTGGTTCAGATTTAGATATAGCTCCCATATATATTTCTTTCCGAAATAGTGAACCAATTTTACACATCGTACGGAATTAGGTCCAGATGGAGCTCCAAACTACCAATATTTGTCTGATTGAGATAAAATTTAGCATAGCGAATGCAATTGAGTCAAGAATGATATGTGTTAATGATTGTTGAAAATGGTTCAGATTTAGATATAGGTATTATATATATATATATATATATGTTGCACCGAAGAGCCTATTTTTGTTCGATTTACACAAAATTGAGGATATTAAATTGAGTTGCTCAATTAGGCCCATGTTCATATATAGCTCTCATACATAATTTTACTCGATTTCATAATTTACTCCATTCATAATTTTTCATTGATTTTAATATGGTGTTTTTTTTTAATTGGTGTGATCTAACATTTAATTTCGCCCGATTCTACCTCAATGGTCCACCAATAATGCTATGTCTGTTCTATCTTTTGGATATTGAATATCGTGCATATCGTGTATGAACCCAAAGTGGGTTCATACACGTCGGCCTCATCCGACTTTTAAACTTTACTTACTGGTTATAATTTCTACAGTGGGCAACTCGATCTAAGAACGCCTACCTTCATGTAAATTACTTTACTATGGGCAGGGATTTATTTTCCCTTCATTCATACTGTATGAACAGAATTTAAGTTCAAAGACAGTTGATTTTAATGGGTTAATCTAATACACCAATATTGTCAATATATTATATACTTTTAGATATACTTTCCCCAATAACTCTGCCTGACGTTTTATATTACATTTTAGCAAAAAATTAGAAATAAGGGTCCACTCTTTGTTGAAGCCCAAATATAAAGATTTTGACCGATTTTGGTTTATTATCTATATTTTAATCTTCCAATAGAATCGGGCGTATTCTCAGTAAGTGGGTGACATTTTTGATCTAGTTCCCATATAGCTATTATAATTATGCTAGATTCTTTCTCGAACATGTTTTTCTTTCGATTTATTACCGTCACGTCAGATGTAATTTTAGTCCACACAAATTTTGCTTGCTTATATACTGTCGAATATAATACCAACCTCCAAAAATAGCTGCAGCCGTTAAAAATATTAAAAGACGTGCCATAATAAAGGCAACTGGAATTGCTTGTCACACAAAATTTCTTCACTTTTTTTGTATTTGGCTCTACAAGGATTTCAACATTTCCTTTTTTCTACAAAGAAAAATAAATTGTATTTAATTTGTATATCACAAATTTTTACTATTTTCTATTTATTTGAAATACACAATAATGTATTTTATGTTGAATATATCATATCTTTATTTTTTATATTATAATAACAATTTTTTTATTATTTTCTTTAAATTGTATGTATTTTTTAATTCACTTTAATTTGCATTCAACACAGAAATATCACAAAATTTATATTTTTCCATTTAGAAAATTATATTTGAAACTTTTTGTGTATTTATTCTTGTTAATTTTATTTTTAGTGGGGACCATCTAAATATATAACTTTGCATCACTTTTGATCATTAATTCACTGTCACTTGTTTCCGCTACACAGATTTCGAGATCAGCATAGTTTTCCGTTCCCCGAATGATGTTTCTTTATTTACTAGGGATGTTTCGTTCGTTTTTGTTCTGTTTTTTACCTTAGTACACAACCGCACGGGATGAAAGCTGAAAAAAGACTGGGGGATATGTTTGCTAAATCCCAATATGCTAAGGATCCCTTTTGAACGAATACGGCCCACACAGTTGTTAGCATACACTGACATTTGTCGGAGAGAAAAAAGAAAAACATTTTTTCACACATTCGAAAATGTGAAATATAATGGAAATCATTCATCGAAGATGAAAACTGGAGAAAACTTGTGTGACAAAACAAAAATGAACATTTCGAAATAAAGAGTGAATTGTTTGGAGTGAAGAAATGTATGAACATAAGGAAGGTGTATTTTATAAACTTTAGTTGCTTCCGACTTGTATATGTAAATAGTCAAGATCGCATTATGTCAAGGGAGCTTAGAAATTGGTCACTATAAGCGATATCAAATTAAGAACCGACATTTTTGTGGACCTTTGAATATCGTTCTTATAACCGATACGTTTTTCAAAACGATGATGTTATAAACGATTCCAACGGTAAATATTATGTCAATAGGATTTAGTTTTGTTACAATTTAAAGTGGTCTATAGCCCTTCCAATACACAATTTCTGTCATGCCAAATTATTAATGTTGTCTTTATGCACTACAAACAATTTTGAACAGAAAATTCAGGCATTTTAAAAGGGTGAAAATCAGAGACGATTTTTATTTTGCTCAAATCTGTGTATCTTTTTTTATCTGTCGTTTCCTTCTTCGTCTACAATTTTATGGGTTTAGTTCATAATGTTTGTGCGTGTATCTGCAAGATCGCTGATTGTTGTTTATAACCATGCGACAATCTATCTATTTATAAAACAAAATGTTTGACACTACCAAAAGCCAATCTAAATCGGCAAAAAAAAATAGAAAAACAACTAAGAAAATAAAAAACTCGCACACTCACACACACATACACTTAAATAAAGCGCCAATAAAAAAAACAAACATACAAACAGCATAAAGGAAGTGTTTCATAGCCGAGTCTGATGATTTTCTTTTTGGTGTTTCACTCGAAACGCCTCCACACAAGTGTAAGTTGACATTTTCTGTTGGATTTTCCACAAATGTTTTTCTTTGTTGTTGTTGTTAAAAAAAAAGATCGAAATTAAAGTGTGGCATCATGTCATGACAACAAAACAAAGTTTATGTGACAACAACATCAAGAACAAGCAACATATGTTTGTATGTAGAGACTGAGGCAATTGCCACTTTATGAATGTGCTAAACAATAGACCGAATGTCCGCATGATAATAATGATGATGCTGATGAGTAAAGGAATGATTTTAATGATCTTTAAGCATTTTCCTCATCATTAGGGTCACAATGGTTTGAGGTGTGTGCGTGTGTGTACGTTTTTTTTTTTATTGTGATGAATAATTGAAAGTGTTTTCTGTTTCTTCAAATAAAAATGATTTGAAATGAATCACTGGGTATATAGTTAAATATTTAACAATATCATCTGTAATATTGAACTATTATATTAATTGCAGTTTAGCTGAAATGTAGACTTTTGTAAAATATAAGAATATATTATTTGTATAACCGGTATACTGATATTCAACTTTAATAAATCCCGCACAACAATTAACAACTTAAAACGACGATGAGTTCGACCCTCGAAAATGAGGTGGAAATTCAAAACACCTAAAATCAATCGAGACTCTTTTGTGGGACCTATATAATGGTAAATATTTAGTAGAACCACAATATAAACCTAAAAACGTACCGACAATTATGACGATATTAATAGTTTTTGACAGAGAGATTTTCTACCAATGAGAATCCAAAATACTAAATTACTAACAATGTGACTTTTTTTAATTTGGGTTCTAAGTATAAATATTGTGATCCATGAGAACGTTGCATACAATGTGCTATCCCGAAGCGGTAAATTACAGCAACTTCGTTTTATATGGGAACTTTGTCAAAACTGTTAACAATATTAAGATTAGCCCTAATCCTGGGGAACTATCAAATTCCAAATGACAAATATTAAGATTAGCCCTAATCCTCGGGAACATCAAATTCCAAATGACTGCAATTTCGGTTGGACAACTTGTTTAGGACCTAGAAAAACCTGCAAAGCACGAACATGTATTGGAGAGTTTCTGCAGGAGACTGAAAAGATTGTGCAGTACCGATATACAGGGTGAGATGAAAAAACTGCAACCAACTTCAGACTGCTGTCATTTTCAAGAAACTCATCCTACAGCAGTTAAAATTATTCCAGTGACAGCCCATTATATTGTTTACAAGCATACAAAAGTATGTTGTTGAGAATTTTCCAAAAAAAAAAAAAAAAGTTATTCGTGATGGAATTCATGAGTGATAGTGTGATTTCTTTATACTTGACTGGAAAACCACAAGTGGCTATCGTTAGAGCAATCCAGCATTTAAATGAGAATAAATCTTTTTTGTTTTGTACCATCGCTCGTTACCGTGATACTGATAGCGTAGCCCGACGTCGTGAAAGTGGACGGAAGAAAACAGCAACATCAGCAGAAATGGTTCGAAAAATGGCTCGTGATCTGAACATATCGCAATATTCCATTCAGCAAATATTGAAAAATGAGCTTGCGATAAAGCCATTGAAATTCCAAAAAGTGCAAAAACTTACACCGCAAGAGAAAGGAAATAGACTAAAACGGGCCGAAAGTGGTGAACTGCCGAATTTGGTTCTCTCCGATGTGAAAACATTCGTTGTCCAGCAGTTTGTAAACAAACAAAATGATCATGTTTACTTGCCAAAGAAGTCAGCTGAAAATGTGCACCTTCGGTTGGCCACCAGAACTCAAGCGCCGGCCATGGTGATGGTATGGACCGCCATTACAGCCGATGGTCGCTCTCCGCTCGTATTAATCGACTGTGGCATCCGAATAAATGCCGAATATTATCGCGAAAATTTTCTGGAGGGTGTATTAAATCCTTGGGCACGCAAACATTTCGGCCGCAGACCTTGGACATTCCAACAGGACTCAGCGCCATCACACTTAGCACGCGAGTTATGATACAAAATACTTGTATCAAACCTGTTCCGTAATCTTAATTTATTTTAAACATCATTCTCTCTAAATCTATTTTCAGCTATCCTCAATGTTCTTTTCACCTAGTTTTAATCACAAATTTCCTTTTATTATCCATAATTTTATTTTGTTATCCATAATTCCTTAATGTAATTAATTTATCTCAATTCTCTTTTAAATCATATTCTTTAGTTTTAGTACTAATTTACTGTTAACTTCTAATATATTTTGATGTTTTCTAGTTTTAAGTTGACTTTGTTTGTAACTCTGAACTAATAAAGTTGTCTTCGGATAAAATTAAAAACATAAAATATTGTTTTATTACATATATATTTAATATTACTTAACTCGCGCAACCCAAGAATAGTTACAAAATGAGGATGCTCGTTTTATTTCTAGCGCTCAATGGCCACCAAAATCTCCGGATACCAATCTGTTGGACTATTGAGTCTGGAGTATTTAGGAAAGCAAGGTTGGCACTAAAAATACCAAAGTGTCAATCACCTCAAGCAAGCACTTCGCCAAGAATGGGCCAAAATAACGCAGAGCATCATTTGGGAAGCCGTAATCCGTGCCAAAGGTGACCAATTCGAACAAATTTAAACTTATTCTAAAATGGATGCTATTTCCGACATTTTTTTTCTTTCATTCAATAAAATGAAAAAATTGTGGCGTTTGACTTTGTTGCAGTTTTTTATCTCACCCTGTTATATGTTTCATCACACCAAACGTCCTAGAATTCGTAACAAAGTATCTAGAGATTTATCTTTAATATTGCAAGCACCATCGAGATTTCAATCAGGTCTGAGGAATCGAACAAAGTCATTATTTTTCATGAGACCACTAAAGGTTTATCATCCGGCCTTGTGATACATCCAATCCTATAAATTTCGTTTCAGCCAAAATTTAAGGCCGAATTGATATTTCTAGAGTCCTAGGCATAATTAACCTAGCATAGGGTTCATGGTTTTACGATTATACAAGTATATTCGGAATTTGTTTAACTTCAATTGAGTTTGTTATTTTTTTTATTTCAAACCTGTGAGCGGAGCAGTATAGTTGGACCGGCCGACCATATGATACCCTACATAACTACCACGGAAGACTAACATTATGCGGATCTATATTCCATGCCTGGACAATATTTCTCGATATTTGAACCATATTGGCCAATTAGAGATCAACAGCTACACTTTCTTACCCAGGCATATTTTCGAAATAGGTTTCTGTTTTATTTTTACACAGAAAGATATTGATTGATTTGATTTTGGCATATTTACTAGATTTGCGTTTCCGTACTTTTCAAATTATTTTGTATTCTGAGAGCGATTTTGAAATGTTTCCCTTTTACTAGATTTACTATTAAAAAAGTACTGGAACAGACCAATTGTTATTATTATGTTTTTTGCCTATCTACCCCCAGAACAATTTTCCAATTCGCCAAATATGTACAATCGATAGAAATTAATACTGATTGTGAATTCATTCGTCCAATCACACACACACCTACGCGACAATGGGCCGGCAATTAACGATGATATTACTGCAATTTGTTGTTGTGGCCAGCCTTCATTGGAATTTAGTTTTACTTTTTACCAGCTGATCTGAGGTATTGTTTTGTTACCTCCGAACGCATTTATATAATTATTACACCTCTCACTGTCAAATAAAACAACATTCATGCGAAATGTTTATCTGAATTCGCGCAACAAATAAACAATTTTCCGATAATGTCAATTGTTTTATTTTTTCATAGAACCTCCACAATGTGGAGGGTATTTTATTTTCCCGCCACATATGAAGGTGACGCAATTGTCACGAAATTTCTATGCAAAAAAAAAAAAAAAAAACAAGATAAAAGAACACACCTTTTTGTCTACCGAATCGAAATCAATTATGTCACAACATGATTACGTGAATGTGAGCAAGAGTTAAGTAGTCATGTCATCCGATTAAAGGTCGTAATTACAACAACTATCGGCTAGTTTCCATCGCGCATTCATATTATCAGATTCTTTCCGAGTACAAATAATTGGAAATAGAAAACAGTAGCCAAGGTGGCTACTTAAATGGGTATGCAAAATAAATTTTGTAATTAAAAAGTTGAAAAGACATTGAGCCGAATGTATTGTATTTTATTTAAATGCCCTACACACAGCTGTAAAGTGTTACAAATTCTCATTCATTTGTTACTCTTGATTTGATTTTCAAACACTACTCCAAGAAAGTATTTAAATCTATGTGTCTGCAGGAATTTTTATTAGGACGCCGAAATTCCCAACTATCTACAAAATAACAAAAATCACAGCGAATATCTAAGTATAATAAAGTGGTTACCCTGTTTACATACATATTTGTTTTCTTTTACGCCCAGTTAATCATCACTTTTTATACCCTTCACCACACTGTGGTACAGGGTATTATGTCTTTGTGCATATGTTTGTAACAGGCAAAAGGAATCGAGATAGACCCATAGTTCCTTTTGAGAATATGCATAGAATCACTTTCTGAGTCGATTTACGCATGTCCGTCTGTCCGTCCGTCCGTCCATGTATTTTTGTGAACAAAGTACAGGTCGCATTTATGATCCGATTTGGATGAAATTTGGCACAGTTCACTTATTGGGCCCAAGGACGAACCCTATTGAAATTGGGAAAAATCGGTTCAGATTTAGATATAGTTCCCATATATATTTTCGTCCGATTTAGGGTAAATGGTGCACCAAAGTCCCTATATATCTTTCGATTTGCACGAAATTTGAAATAACGTATTGAATTGAGCCTAGAGTGATGTCTGCCAAGTTTCGTGAAAATCGGTCAAGATTTAGATATAGCTCCCATATATATTTTCGTCCGATTTTATGTAAATGGTGCACCAAAGTCCCTAAATATCTTTCGATTTGCGCGAAATTTGGCATGACGTACTGTATTGAGCTTAGAGTGATGTCTGCCAAGTTTCGGTGCAGATTTAGGTATAGCTCCCATATATAGTTTCGTCCGATTTTATGTAAATGGTGCACCAAAGTCCCTATATATCTTTCGATTTGCACGAAATTTGGCATAACATACTGAATTGAGCCTAGAGTGATGTCTACCAAGTTTCGTCAAAATCCGTTCAGATTTAGATATAGCTCCCATATATAGTTTCGTCCGATATTATGTAAATGGTGCACCAAAGTCCCTTTATATATTTCGATTTGCACGAAATTTGGCATAACATACTGAATTGAGCCTAGATTGATGTCTACCAAGTTTCGTGAAAATCCGTTCAGATTTAGATATAGCTCCCATATATAGTTTCGTCCGATTTTATGTAAATGATGCACTAAAGTCCCTATATATCTTTCGATTTGCACCAAATTTGGCATAACGTACTTAATTGAGCCTAGAGTGCTTTATGCCAAGTTTCGTAAAAATCGGTCCAGATTAATATATAGCTTCCATATATAGTTTCGTCCGATTTTATGTTAAAGATTCACCAAAGTTCCTATAAATCTTTCGATTTGGACGAAATTTGGTATAGCATACAGTATTGAGCCTGGAATGATGTGTGCTGAGTTTCGTGAAAATCGGTTCAGATTAAGATATATATATTTCCGTCAGATTTAATGTAAATAATGTACCAAAGTTCTAATATTGCATAGATCGATTGATTTTAAGTAATTGACGAACCAAGGAACCAATATATGGTTGATAGGAACAAAACGTACTGAAATTAGTATAACCCAACCTGTGACAAGTTTTGTTGAAATCGGTTCATATTTGGATATAAATTCCACATATATTTTCGTCCGATTGTAAGTAAACGGTGCAAATGGTGTTTGTCAAATTGACATGAAATTTTGCACAACGCACAAAATTGAGCATAGAATAACGTAGTTGGGTTTTCTAGAAGTACATACATAGCCCAACGGCCCAACATTTGTCCCATTGTAAGAAACAAATGACATGCAAATAGATTGATATATTTTGATTCACATAAATATCACATATTTTAGTTCATCCAATTTCATGTTAATTGTTCTGGCGAAGATAGTGGTGAAGGGTATCATATAGTCGGCCCCGTCCGACTTTACTACTTTCCTTACTGGTTTAAAATGGAGGCGTTCGCGTGCTGTTTTGTTTGATATATCATAAATGGTAATGTGACAAATATTTTTCCAAACGTATTTATTTATTTTAATACAAATACATGTTCTTACAATAGGAATATAAAATGTAGATTTTTATAACATTTTGGGGCTGAATGGGTATAATCATACAACTCATTAAGAATAGTTTTTAAGGGAACGTCCGTTCTCCACGTTTTTAAAAGTCGAATATTTTTATTATTTAAATAAAACGAAATCTTTTGAAGATGTAACCGATTTAAGTCGTCGTATTCAAACAGCAGTTCTTCTCAAACTTTATATGACTATTTCTCCAACAGTGTTTTTACGAATGGTTATCTTATCGGTTCCAAATGTTAATGCTTTGTTCTGTACGTACACAGATATCACATGATCTAGAATAAATCCTTATTTTTTAACTTGGTTGGTTGATATATATATATATATATGAGTTTTAAAATTTCTATTTTTTCTTTTTGTGATCCGATGATTTTATTTAGTATAAAGTATCAATCAAACAATTTCCGATTTATGCTCGTTGGAAGGGTGAAATTTCGCCGTAAAAAAATAGCAAACTAATTTTTTAATGGAAGGGAACAATGTGAAAATTCGGTACATTTTACAGTTTTTCTCTGACAAAGGCGAAAATGCAACTCAAGCAGCTAATATTGTGAATGGTGTTTATGGTTCCGATACTGTAACATTCAATTATGTGCAATTTTGGTTTCGTAGATTCTGTTCAGGAATTTTTGATGTTAAAGATGCACTTCGCACAGGTAGGCCGGTCGTCGAAAATATCAATAAAATGGGAGAAATGATCGAAC